CAGCATTTCTTTCTTGGTAGCATGAGGATCCCCAGCGCTCCAGCCTTTTAAAAGGGGAAACTTTGCTTCCAGCATCCCAGCAAAAGTTCTGGCATCAGCCTCATTTTTTCCCCCAGCACAAATCACTGCAGCCAGCAGGAGGGGTTACTCTGCTAGGCTTAGCCGGCCGCATGCTTCTTGGGGCTTGCGTGGGACCAGCATGGCCAGCAGCTGGGTGTGTGGGAAGAGGGAGAGCTGCAATGCAGAGGCACTGAGCAGGGGCTGTGGCAGATTTCTGCTACAGAGCATCCGTGGCGATAGCACAGCGTAAGGGCTCAGCGTGGGAACCCAGTGGCCGACTGCCTGGGCCCTCTCCTACTTCTGCCACTTAGTGCTTCTGTGACTGAGAAGTCACTTACCCTCTTCAGTCTTCAGTTTCCTCAAGTAGAGCAACAGGAATGATTGTGGTCGCTATCTTGGAGAGCTGTGGGGTCTAAATGGTTCGTATCCAAAAAGTGTATAAAGCACAACCTGGCACAGAGTAAGAGCTCATCCTTGTAACCTGTGTGCTTGGCATCCCGCAGCTTGTGTGGCACACAACTTGCACAACTGTACCCTGAAGTCCTGCTCAATGAATGAGAAACATTTTCTCCCACATTTTATGTATGAAGAAAACCAAAGCTCAGAGTGGCTGTGAAACTTGCTCAAGGCCACTGGGTCAGAGATAGAGGATCTGGACTGGAACCCAATTCTGCTTGACCTTGGGATGCTCCGAACCACCATGCAGTTCAGGATGATGTCTGAGGTCCCCTCTCATCGTAGCTGAAGAGCCATACGGGGAGAATGCAGACCACCCGCTACCAACATTTGGTCCTAAGTGGTGCTAATCTCATCATGCCCCTGTGAACTCCAGGCTTGCAGGACCTGCAGCTTCCTGCTACAATCACTGCAGTGTCAGTGTCCCAGCAGATGCCCCCTGCAAAGCTTAGGGACACTTAACTAGTGCCCAAGGTTGGGAAGTGTGTTCGAACCCATAGCTGTAGTGTAGGAGAACTGGAGTGGGTGTGTGTCTGTGTCATGGAGGAGAGCCTCGTCTCCTGGTCTCCAGTGACTGGGGCAGCACTGAGGCCTCTCTAGTCCCCTTTCAGTGCCCACCTCTCAGGATTTGTGCTTTGGGAACAGAGGCTGATTTCACAAGCAAAGGACACAGCGACTGACTATAGGCAAGAGGGAGGGGAGCCTTCCCATTCCTGAAGGTGTCTGGGGGTTCACACCCTCATGCTTGTGCGCTGACGGGTTGATTCTGCAACAGTGAAATTTGGAAGAGAAGGGAAAACATGATGTCCTTGAATGCAAACCAGATCCGCTATGCTGTGAGGGTCGCTGTGAGGCCAGTCCTGCAGCTGGGCAGGGGAGAGGTGGCAGTCTCACCCTAAATCTCCCCTCCTCTGTGACTGAACCCAAGAGATTCCCTCCATGGGGATGTGATAGGGACCTGAAGCCAATAGGTCAGCTGTCACCTAGGGTCTTTGATGACAGGCTGGCTGCCAGCGATGGAGACTGACCCATTCCCAGGAGCTGCTGGTCACTAGTTGCGTCTTTGTTGGCTCCTGGGCACAGCATTCCCAGGGGTCCCAGGACAGCGTCAACCTGGTTTTTCCTCCGCAGAAGGATCTGAGCCGGCCCTGCTGTGACATGCTGCTGACTTCATAAAACATCAGTTGAAACGCCTCAATATGGAAATAATGTGCAGTGAGTTATTCTTACATCAGGTCGTACATAATGGGAAATCAGCCGGAGATGGCCCTGTATTTCTTCTCACTCCCTAAAGTGTCATAAATTGAAACTTTTAAAGCTTGGCGTGAAGATGGCTTCGCCAGCAGCATCCCGAGCCTGCCTGGTGGAGGCCTTGGGCAGGGACCTCCTTGACTGTGTGCCTCTGGGCTAGTGACCTCTCTCTCTGTCCGCTGCCATCAGCCAGGGTGTCAGAGTCACCCTCACTGTGGTTCACGATCTTCCTAGCCTTGTGCCCTCCCAGGCACGAAAGGGACTCAGCAACGGTGACAGTAACAATCGCCAGCATTTGACTGTATTTCTCAGTGGCAGGCAGCACTGGGCTCAGCACTTGGAGTGTTTTCAAGGATTTATCTTGGATAGACTCTTTGGTGTAACAGCCCCCATTTTCCAGATGAGGAAACTGAGGCCCAGCCGGCTTAAGTGACTTGTGGATGAAGGCATACGCCCTAGACGCACCAGTGCCTGCTGCCCTTCTTTCACGTCCCGTGGAGTGAGCTCTGTCACCGCTGGGGAGTTCCAGGAAGGAGGCAAGACTCCTAGAGGAGGGCTGCTGTGGCCACCACATCTGTCTGTTGACAGGCTGTCTGCTCAGTCTGCAGACCCCAGCCTGGGCCAGGACCTTGGGATGCTTGCTGAGTGGCATTCACTGCATTAGCGACCCACTGGGCTGGGACCTCTGTCCCTGCTGCATCTCTCCTGCTCCACCCATGCTGTCCGACTTCCCAGCCGGGGGCTTTCCTGAGGGCAGAGAAGCTCAGTGGATAGGTGCTTGGGCTCAGGTTGGACCAGAGAGGCCGGCCGGCTGTGTGACCTCGGGCAAGTCTTCCCTCTGTGACCCAGGGTTGAAGCAAGCAAAGAATGCTCAGTGCCCAGAGTGCTCCCCCAGGCACAGGAATGGACAGAGCTGTACCCAGAGTGCTCCCCCAGGCACAGGAATGGACAGAGCTGCAAGGTGCCCAAACCACCTGGGCCAAGCTCATTCTGGCGCGAGCCGGGGAGGAGCTAAGAGGAAAGGAGCTCTTCTGGGTGGTGCTCTGCTGACTCCCTGTACACGCAGGCTGCAGAGACAGCCACCTGTGCCCTGTGGCCGGAGGGCCGGTGGGTCGCAGTGGCGCTGCCCACAGTACAGGCGGAGCCCTGTCTGTCTGCGCACTTGCTCATGCTCCTTCTGCCTCTGGCCTGAGCTCTTTGGCCGGGCAGCAGGGCCCTGCAGGGTGCTGTGCCCCGCCCCTCCGTCACCCCTGCCTGAGTGGACATCCGCTTCTCCCTGCCTCGCCTTTGTTCTGTGCAAACCTCACAGTGCAGAAGTTTCCATTTTTTCCCACTTCTCCCTGGTTGGAGAACTCCACCGTCTCGGGGGACCACAGCAGCATCCTCCTTGGCCACCCTGTTTCCCATCTTGCCCCAGTAAGGCTGAGGGAGGCTCTGCAACCCACCTACTTAGAAACCATCCATGGTTTCCTTACAGATTGAAATAATAAATAACCTAATAATAAATGGCCTAAGCTGTGTGGTCTAGTCCACAAATTTCACTGATACGGTGCCCACTCTCTCTCCTTTCCCACTCTGCATAGTAGCCCAGCTACACTGGCAGTCTTTCTGCTTTCAGGTACTTCATCTGTTCCTTTCTCTGCCTCAGGGCCTTTGCACTTGTCACTGTCTCTACCCGGGACACTGTTTCTCCTAAATCTGCACAAAGCTGTCTCTTTTTGCATCTTTTAAGTCTTAGCTAAAATCTTCCCCCTTTTTGAGGCCACCAGCTCCAAGGAAGGGTTAGCTTTGCCCGGCCTGCCTGCCTGCCCACCTCTCAGCTGGCCAGAAGCTCTGGAGTCACTGGCCGGAAGTCACCTCGCATCTAAACTCTCATTTCTGCCATTGGTTATGCTGTAGCTATGCTAGTCACCTCCCCATGCTCTGCATTGTTTTCCTCACTGTTCTGGGTCCCTCCCAGTCGCCATGGGAGATGAGCCACCAAGACTTCCCTTGCTGGCCCTGTATGGCACACACCTGTAGATGCGCACTGTTCTCAGAGGCTCGGAAGGGCGGCTGTACTTGGCGTCTGGCAGAGGGGCAGGCTAGGCAAGAGCACCAGTGTGTGAAGGCTCCCAGAACCACCGGGCTTCAGCACAGGCCATCTGAGTGCCGTCCGCAGGCCAGCCTCTTCCAGGTCCCCTACCTCACTTTCCCTCTGTGTAAAGTGAGGGCTTTTGCAGTGTGCACCGGGAAGGCAGGGCAGGAGGAACAGAAGAGAAAACACAAATCTTTTCTCTTTGTCTATCAGCAGCAACCTTAACATTAACTCTTTTGAAGACTGGCCTGGGGTTTTAGAAGGTGTGCTCTTCAGAAAACCACATCTCTGCTTTGCAGCTTGTGTGGCTTCAGGCGAGGTGCTGCCCTTCTCTCAGCCCTTAGGTGACTTCTAAGGTGTTTTCTGTCTCGAGGTTCTGGACTTCAGAAATCAAGGAGAAGCTGCCAGTTACTGGGCTCGGGTTTGTGCACAGGTGTGGGCTCTCCAGTGGGGCACGGCTGTCTTCCAGGGCTGCTCAGAGAGGTAACTGTGCCTGTCTTGGCCCCACTTTCTAGGACTGGAGGCTTATTTTGCGCAGGTGGCACAAGAAGAAAAAGAAAATGGTAGAGAGATTTACGTTGGTGGCTCTTAGCCCTCGAGAATCTCGTAAAAGCTGTGAATCTAAGAAAATGCTCCCATGCAGAATATTTTACATTTCAAAGGATGATGAACTGGCTTTTCACCCTGAGTCCTGATGAAGAAACTTCTCCTTGGCAGGTTCCCACCAGCCTCCGAGATGCTTCCTTCCTTCCTCCTGGGATCTCATCCCATCCCCTCATCCTGCTCCTCTTCTTCCCTTGCTCCCTGGAGGAGGTCACGGCCACCTCTTCTGCTCCGGAGGGCAGGGCTGGGTGTGTGGGTGGTCCCTCGAGTGTCCTGTGCCTGGCAGTTCGGGGACTCAGCCGTGCATGGCGAGCGTGGAGCACCCAGTGCTGCAGCGGATGCCGTAGCTGTGTCAGCGCCTGTGACATTTGAGGGGCACAGAGCCTGGCTACCTGAGATACAAACACATCAGTTCCCCCTGGTAGTGCATTGGTGACTAGTTCCATTGCCCTGCTGCCTACCAGGAGCGGGCTGGGTTGTGCCGGGGGGCAGACATTCAGGGAGGCAACCTCGGGGACTCAGCTCTCTCTTTGTCCCCCATGGCCTGGTCTAGCTGGAGCAGAGCAAGGCCAAGTGTGAAGATGCCCTGAAGACCCAGAAAGCCCTGACCCTGGACCTGGAGAGCATGCACAGTGAGCTGGAGAACATGACCCGGAGCAAGAGCCTGGTACTGACCCTTCCTGCAGCCATGGAGGCCTGGATGTTGCAGGCCTCTGGTTGCCAGTGTGGGCCTCCTGGGTGCTTAACACTGTAAGGGAGACAGAAGCAATTATTTTGAACCTGTTGGGTTTGACCAAGGAGTACAGATCTCCACTGTGGGTGTAATTGGGACCACCTCGGAGACGCAGACCTCCCTGTATACCTACTGGGTGCCACTTTGGAGTACGGACCTCCACGTACACCTTAGCTTTGTGAGAGTGATGGGAGCACTTACCTAGTGTGCACTCAGAGGTCCTGCTGTGAACCGAGTGCTGTAGAGGCCAGAAACCTGTCGGAGGGTTGGCTGTGTACTCCCCTCTGCAAAGGTAAGCAAGGGAGCCTGCTGTGAGCTCGGTGCTGCGAGGGTGCATCCAGGGTGAACCTGTTGTAGCGCAGGATCCTAAATGGGAACACGACCACTTGTGTACCCAGTGTGCTCCCCGCTGCAAGTGGTGCCCCTCATTTTCATCAGAGGACTTGGTCCTTAGGGTTGGGCTGTGTGTGTTTATTCCTATGAGAAGATAAGGGAGTCTCTCCTGGGCCCACTTAGAAAGCAAAGAGACTCAGGCATTTATTACAGGCCCACTTGGTGCCCTCCAGTGAATGGGGACAAGTGGACACACGTTCTAGGTCTATGGCGTGGGAGAATGTCGGGCGTGGGTTTCAACATTCCTGTCTGGGTGTACAGGACTGGCTTAAATTTATTCTCTGTATAAAATCCAAAAGTTTAGGTAGATCCAGAGATTTATGAGTAAATGATTATCTCTCTCATGATTCCTCCCGGCCCTTTCATCCTAAATTTTGTCTGCACTAAATTAAAAGGAATTTCCCCAGAAACACACACACACACTCGCTCACACACTCACACAGGATTGTACCCACACACTTAAATACCAAATCACCAGGCCCACATATAAAACAAATGCCCTCATAGGTAAAGTATCCAAGCAGATTTGTCCACCCAACTAAGAAACATTTATCAAGTACCTGCTATAGTGCCTGGTGCTTAGTGCTGGGGGTATAGCTGTGAGCAGGACCAAGGCCTTGCTCTAAGGGAGGTTACAGGTTTGCACTTCCCCGTCTGTACCATGTGCATTTAAAATATGCTACATGGATTTCTACAGGGGGCTCACATGAGTAACAAATCCACCCCCCGCTGCCTTCACAATAATATGCATGCCTAGCATTACACACACACGCACACACACACACACACACACACACAGATACAGACTACCACCACCACCATCATCATCCCCACCAACAGCACATGCATTGTCACCCACTGCACCCTTACCTGTAGATGTTCACTCACCTCACTCATCCGTAGCCAGAGACCCCAGGTCTCTTCCTACTGCCACTGGAGATTGAACTCAGGACCTTGCACTTGTGAAGCAGGCAGCGGAACCACTGAGCTAAATCCCCGGCCCTCCTGCCACCTTTTGACCTCACCCCAGCTGCTGGCCTGCCTCCTTCCAGGTGGATGAGCAGCTGTACCGACTGCAGTTTGAGCGGGCAGACCTCTTGAAGCGCATCGATGAGGACCAGGATGACCTGGATGACCTCATGCAGAAGCACAAGGACCTCATCGCCCAGGTGAAGAGTGGGTTCTGTGGAGCAGGGTGACAGAGGCGTGGAGAGGTGAAGTACTTGGACTACTTCTTGGTCTTAGGACTTTGGAGTCGTAAGAGTCCATGCCAGCTAGACAGAGAGGAATTAGAAATCCAGGTGGCCCTAAGGGAGGAGGGTGTCCCTTTGAGACAGTGGGTGCATCCTCGGAGAACCTCTCCACCCAGAAAAAAGTTTGATTTATTCATACATGTATTTGCCCATCCAACATCTGTCTGCTCACCAACTCATCCATTGAATTACCAAGCCATTAATTTATCCGTCCACCTACCTACCCATCCGTTATCCACCTATTGCAGTTCCTGTCCTTTTACCTATCTGCTCATCCACCCATCCATCCGTCCTTTCATCCTTCATCCCTTCTCCAACCTTTTATTCATTTCCGTACTGTCAAGCACGTATTCATTCCTTCATTCAGTGCCCTTCCGTTCATCCTTTCCATTCATCCGCCCACTCGTTTACTCCTTCGTCATCCGTGCATCCATTCTCTGTTCATCCATACGTCTACTCATTTGCCCGTTCATTCACTCGTCTGTTATCCAGCCACCGTCCTTTCATGCATCTATGCTTCCACCACTCAATCAGTATCCGTCCACCTTTCCCCCAGTCTTCCCATTCATCCATCATTCCAGTCACTTGTTTGTCCATTCGTTATTCATTCATTTCTTCATCTATCGTCTATGAATCTGTCTGTCCATCCCCTCCTTACTGAGCACTTCCTGTGTGTGAGGCACCGCACGTGTGTGAAGAAGGCCACGTGTGCTGTGGGAGTCTTGCCCATCCCCTTCCCGTTCTCAGGCAGTTCAGGGCTCACCTTATCACATCATCGCCCAGAGGCGAGGAGGGACTCGCACGCCGAACCGTGCGTGTGTCCCGCATGGCCCCCAGAGGAGAGCTGGGTCGGATTCCCCTGTACTCCAGCTGGAGGTGCTTCTGCCCAACAAGGGATCTTCATAAGGAAAGTGATCACTGATGTCACTGGCACTGTAACAAACAGCACAAAGGAGCTCATGTCACCTTTTGCATTGGCGAATCACTTATTTTTGTTCAAAATGGAAGTTTACTTGTTCAATTATAAAACCAATATATACCTATGACCATTATAAAAATTTAATACGTACACCTGGAAAGTAGGGAGGGGAGAGACCATCTTGTTCTTGGGAATTCTTCGCTTCACAGATAATCAAGCTCAGCATCGGCTCCACCTTTTTATAGGGTGTTTACTCTCCACCACCTCCTGAAATCTCTGAACAGACCCAATGGACAGTGGCCAAGCAGACATTCTGAGCCCTTCTTATTGAAGGGGAGACTGTGCTGCAGAGAGGTTCCTTGGCTTGTCACGGCCAGTGTCCAGGTGTAAGACCTTATCCTGGCAGTAGAGAAGCTGTCCCTTGGAATTTGGCTCTTGCACCACAGCCACCCCATTGCAGTCTGGGCTCTCCAAGGTGTATCATGAGGTGTGGGCGGTGGACCAGGCCACAGGCTGATGTGACTGGAGTGGCTCAGCCACCCCTGAGACGGAGGAGGTTGGGAGGGTGTGAGAGGTGCTGTCTGAGAAACAGCCATTGCCGTGGAAGCTCCAAGAGACACGGACATCTGTGGGTGGGGCAGAAGGGGCTCTTCTCCCAGCCAAGTCTACGGTCTTCTAGTTATTATTATTGTTATTGTTATTTGTCCCAACAGTCCGCAGCTGACATTGGGCAGATCCAAGAACTGCAGCTGCGGCTGGAGGAAGCAAAGAAGGAAAAGCACAAGCTTCAAGAACAGGTACTGGATCAGAGCTGCTGTACCATGGGGGAGGAAGGGAAGGACTCCCTGGGACCCTTGGACGATCACTCACGCACTCAGTGCTAGTGTGTGCCAAGGTGGGCACACGTGTGCACACACATGCAGAGTCCCTCTTGCCTGTGCCTGCCCCATGTGCCAGTGACACTCTGCGCTACCGAGTGCAGGCTTTTCTCCCTAAGAAGGGGCTGGTCTATGCAGGTAGGGTCTTTGAAATCATGGTGTCTCCCTGGCTTTCTGACTTCTGTGATCTAAGTCCTTGTAGAATGGTCATACATGCATGCTTAGAGTGACTGTCACAGTGAGCGAGTCTTACACAAATGTCCATGGAACCAGTAGCAACAAGCACGACAAAAATAATAGCAGCACTGGCTGTTGGTGGGTGTTCATGATGTGCCAGGAGCTGATCTCCTTCAGTCCACGCAGCAGGAACGAGGAGCTGAGGCTGAGGGAGGGGAGCCAGCCTACCCAAGCTGGTGCAGCTGCCAAGCAGTGGGCGGGCCCTGTGCCTGGCTCCTGATCACCCTGGCCTGTGGCTTTCGCTGCCGGATCTTGTTGCTCACAGGCGAGCTTTGCTGTTTTATCACGGTGGGGCCAGAGGTAAGAGAAATGATGAGTAAAAGTCCCTCTGGATTCAGAAGGCACAGGAAGCATCACCTCCACGCACCTGCCATCAGGAGCGGGGTCCAGTGTGCGAGTCCAGTGGGACCCTCCGTTGGGGACCCAGCGGTTCTCACATGCAGATATTCAGCACGTAGTTCTTGAGCAGGGAAGCAGGCAGTGTGACTGGGACCTGGGGCCGGGACCTGTGTGTGTCTCTGTCTTGGGACTCCTCTCTGTGTGCCCTCAGCTGCAGGTGGCTCAGATGCGCATCGAGTACCTGGAGCAGTCTACTGTGGACCGGGCTATCGTGAGCAGGCAGGAGGCGGTCATCTGTGACCTGGAGAACAAGACGGAGTTCCAGAAAGTGCAGATGAAGAGGCTGGAGGTACTCAGTGGCGTGGAAACCTGGCTTGGGCTGGAGCAGGAGGCTTCCTGTCAGCTCTGCCAGCCTCCCACCCACCGTCTGTCTACTCAGCGCCTTTGTAGGAGGCAGCGCACATCCACCTCCCATTCTTCCTCCCCTCCCTTCCCTCTCCTTTCTTCCTTTTCCTGCTGCACACCCCGCAGACAGCCTCCCTGTTCACCCGTCTGTCTCTGTTCACGTCATCACTCCACTGTCACTGCTCCATCAGTCCATCCACCCTTACATTTTTCCTCCTCCACACTCTCCCTTCTTTCTTTTCTTTTATTCAGACTCAGAGCCCTCTGCTTACCCATCCTTTTGTTTTCTTCCCCCATTAAGTTTATTGGTGCATTTAAAGCACGCAGTACAGTTACAGTCATCATTAGGTCTCGTACCTTTACAGGACAGGTCTTGGTTCTTATTTTTTCCTCACTCCCCTGTCCTCCTTTCATCCCCTCCACCCTTCCCTATTTGCAAAGACTTTGTTTCCATTTTTCCTTTTTTCACATTTTTTTCTTTTTCCCTTGTTTCCTTTCCCCTCCTCTTCCCACTTTCCCCACCCTCTATTAATGGATCCAGTTCTTTCCATCTCTACCCACCCACTCCTCCACTTAGGTGCCCAGCACTCAGGATGAACAGAAATTTGTTTTTCACCTTGTGTGTGCTCAGCTCATGTCAGGTGCCTGGAAGATAAAATTATAATGCTGAGGGCTCTGTAGAGGGCACGCACAAATATCCACAGTCTGGAGAGGAGGCCGAGGGGTCAGAGGACAGAGGCCCTTCTGGGGCTGAGGAGGTAGAAAGGCTTCCAGGAGAAGGAGGCTTCCATGCTGGACGTTGGAGGACAGATAAGCCCTTGATGAGCTGAGAATTCACACTCGGCCTCACGCTGGGGTCCCGGGTATTCGTCCACCTCTTTGGCTTTGCTGGCCAAGGTCATGAGACATTCACGGAGTACATTGCGCTTGTCAAAGCCACATTATCAAAAGCCTCTCCCATCAGGCCGTCCACTTGATGTTTCCTAAAGCCCTTGAGGTTAGGTGGGACAGGGCGCATCTAATGAGGGACACAAGTGGCCTCAGAGGGGTCAAGTGACTTTCAGAGAAGAAAACTAGCATGGCATGAAATTGAAGTATTCTGTCTGCGGCTGTCCTCTCTGCTGCCATTATTTGAATTCACGGAACCCCAGGTCCCTGAGGCAGCGAGATGTGGTGCCTCGAGGACACAGTTTGAGAATCAGTCTGCTTCCTTCTGCCCCTGTGCTGTTTTTCTGAAATTGAGGCTCAGCTCCCTTTGAAAAAGGGGAAGAGGACCCGAAGAGCGAGCCTTCCTTTAGGATTAAAAACATTGTCTGTTTTCTCCCTTGTCCATGGCTCCAGACCAGAGTTCAGAGTGAGCACAGACTTAAAACATCGTGTGGGTCTCTCTTCTGTCCACACGTAAGTGTTTGCCCACTCGGGCCGATTGGTTCTCGAACTGTTGGTGGCCCAATGAGTTTTACAGAACAGCCCTTGGCTTTACTTCCTGTAGCACCCGTGATGCCCAGTGCACCTTCTCTCTGTTGTTTGCTTGTGTCCTCGTGGAGTTTTGTTCTCCTAAAAGGAAAAATAGCATAAACTATTACGGCTGAGGCTCATGACAGGTGATCTGATCAAAGGCACTTACTTTGTAAATCTAGAGACCAGAATCACATTGAGAAGTAGTTCTAAACCCCAGCATAGTTCTTTCTCTTGGGCACAGTGTATCTGCCAGACCTCAGAATGGGTGCGGTTGCTGTAAATACGAACAATTCCCAGCCTTTATCCACCAGATCCTCTAGCATATTGGGTAGGCCTGGGCAGCATCCCTGCTACACACAGATCCCATCATCAACTTCATCGCAGAGAGGTTTACTCACTGCTCTAGGTCACACAGCCAGGAAGAGGTACAGGTGGGATTTGAACCCAGAGCATTATGAGAGTCCGGGTTCTCACTGTATTCTACTGCCTCTTAGAGTGGCAGTTAGCATTTTTTTTTTCTATTTTCAAAGTCAGTTCATTTTGTTAGCAGGAATTGGGATTTTTAGCCAACTTGACTGCTGTATGCAAACATGCAGGCTCAGAGAGGATTCTCTTCCTGGACCCTGGCTGGCCTCTCAGGGATGTGCTATGCCCCTTGCAGGTCCTGGTGATCCGGCTTCGGGACAGCCTGATTAAGGTGGGCGAGGAGCTGTCCCAGGCAGCGGCATCTGAGGCCCAGCAGCGAGAGAGCAGCCAGTATTACCAGCAGCGCCTGGAGGAGCTGAAGGCAGACATGGAGGAGCTGATGCAGCGCGAGGCAGAGGCCAGCCGGCGGTGCGTGGAGCTGGTGAGTCCTGTCCCCAAGCTGGCTTTTAGTGATTGCGGGTCTGGGCTGTGACCGAACCCTGTGCACAGCCCAGGGAGGACTTTCGAATGGGAAACTCAAAGTCTTGCCTTTGGGCCTTTGGGATGGGCAAGATTCAGGGAGGAACTCAAGGGGACGGGGCTGGGCTGTACGATGACACTGTCATGGGCCGCACATCTGGGCACTGGGTCCAGAGTGGACCAGCGGCACTCACTGCTGCCGCCTGCACGCTGAGCATGTGGACTTTTCCGACCTTCGGCTTCCTCCCCAACTCCTACATTCCATTCCAAGCGCAGGGCACCCTCGCGCCAACAGGAGGGAACCAACCTGCCCCCAGTGTCTGTCTTGAGCAGTCTTAGCGCTGCCATGTCCTGTGTTCTCCATCGCAACTCTGCAAATCAGAACCTTTACTCCCAGCTTAACGATGAGGAAACTGAGCCTCCGAAGAAGTGAGATAACTGGTCTAAGGTCACAGGTGGTAAATGTGGAGCTGTTTCTGGGCTATTAACAGTAACAACAAGCATGAAAGAAAGAATGATAAGGATAAAAGCCACTGCTGCGTATTCAGTAAGGATTTGCTCTGTGTCGCGTGCTGGGTGAAGCATTTTCTGTTTAAGTCTTCCCGTCAGAACTGCGGGGTTGCTGCCCTTTTCAATGTCCATGGTAAAGATGAGGCACCTGAGGCACAGAGAGGTGGACTGGCCTAACTGAGGCTCAGAGTGACGCGTTCACTTTCCCACACGTGAGGAGGAATTTCAACCCAAGTCTGTAGTCTATGGTTTTAGCCTCCAAATTGTGCTTTGCCTGTGGTGCGGTCTGAGGAGCATTTTAGACTTTATTTCTTGTGCTTCACCCTAAGAACAGTCTTCCGCAGAGGTCGGAGCCAGCCCAAGGCTGCAGAAGTCGGAATGTGTGATCTGTGAGACCTCACACACCTCCGCTGCCCTGCACCCAGGGCCCTCTCTGAGACGATCTGTAGCATGCCGGGGTCAGCCCAGAGGCCTCTGAAGTTCAGTCATTGCAACAGGTTATACCCACTGTCCTCCGGTGGCAAATCGATTTTCAGGGCCGCTGTCTCCCCCAGCCAGAGTCACCCCATCGGCTTTCCCTCGACACTCCGGGTGCCTGGCTCTTCTGCCTGACAGAAGGCTGGAGAGGTGCCTGGCAGAGAGTGAGGTTCCCAGGCAAAGTCCAGGTCCCCTGGCTGCCAGCTCCTCTTCCCTGGCCCCGGGAGAGACAAGAGTTCTGTCGTCCAGTTGACGGGCTGATTTCCTCACTGACAACCTGCCTGCAGGCTCTGGCCGGGAGGAGAGACACCCCAGCCTTTTCCCTCTGACGCCGTCTTCAGCTGGCCAGACACAGGCACCCCGGCTCCTCCTCCTCTCTCCCTCTCTCTCTCTGCTTTTCTTTCTTCCCTCGCCTCTGACTCCCTTCTTGCCTCTTTTCCTATTGTCCTTTTCCTGGTAGCATTCTTGGAGTCATATTCCGATCTCTGAAAGCCTTAAAGGGCTAAAACGATTATTCAGACCCATCTTACAGATGTTCCAGATTTGGATTCATGCCATACCACTGCAACGAAGTTAGGATTAACAGTGAAGAGAGGCACACAGTTTTTTGTGTGTCCCACCACATTTAAACGTTCTGCTTAGGGCCGGGGATTTAGCTCAGTAGTTCCACAGCCTGCCTCGCAAGCGCAAGGATCCTAGTTTGATCGCCGGTACCAAAAAAATACCAAAACAAACAAAAAGTTCTGTTTACACTGTATTATAGTATATCAAATGTGCAACAACATTGTATCTTTACCAAGCAATGTACATGACTTAATTTAAAAATACTTGATTGCAAATGAATGCTAAAAGTCATCTGAGTTGTTGGAAATAGGATTGCCCCACACAAAGTCATCCCAAACTTTTGATTTTAGCTACTGCAACAACTGTGAATAGCAAGAAAGAAAAGAACAGTGAAATGAGGTGGAGCTGTGTACTGCCACCCATGTGGCCTGCAGTAGAAACAACGCAAAGCTGTGTATAGCACACAAAGCTTGCATGTGTGCTGAAGTTAGGGCATCTTTTTTTCTTTTTTTTTTTTTTCTCATTCTGGAATCTGTATAAGATTTTTGAGGCTTGTCTTTATTTTCAATTTGTTTGTCTGCGGTTGGGAGGTAGATTGGTCTCCTCGGGTGGCCAAGGTGAACGGCCATGGCTGGGTGGCATCGATTTTTCCCGCACAGCCAGGCGGTCAGGAGTCTGAAGACCGGGTGTTGGCAGAGCAGCCTCGCTGCAAGGCCCCAGCCCATTCCTCCTCCTTCAGCTCCTGACAGCTGCAGGCATTTCTGACCTGTGGCAGCGTGGCTCCCTTCCCTGCCTCCGTCTTCCCGTGTCCTTCTCCTCTGCGTGCGTGTGTCTCAAATACCCTTCTGTCTTTTGCTTAGATGGGTAACTGGCACTGGATTTAGGACGCACCCTAAATTGAACTGCAGCTCATCTTGAGGTCCTTATTTTGGTGTACAAAGAGTTCCTTTCCAAATGCAGTTTTATTCACAGTCTCCGTGGATGTATTTCATGGGAAGCCACCCTGGAATTCACTCCCAGAGTGTGCTCCCCACTGGCTGGTGTTGTGAAGGCACCCAGTAAGTACATCTGGGGTCCCTTGGTGCTTCTGGGGGAGAACAAGGCTTGGCGGGACAGTGGCAGGCCCTGGCCTCTTCCTAACACTGGGTGTCCCACGCTCACTGACCTGCTTGCCCTCAGCAATGTCCTGTGTCTTTGGGCAGAGGAGCTGAGGTGCATGAGAGGAAGGGACCAGCGTCCGTCTCCCATGACCCACCCTCCTCAGCCAGGCGGCACTGCTGTTTCCGTCGCCTCCCAGAAATGCTAGCACATTATGAACGTGGCAGAGGATTAATCCCCTGATGAGGTTGGAGCCCTCATAACCCAGTCCCCAAGCCTGGAAACAGCATTCCACAAAAGTAACCCCGCCTATAATACATACACGACGTACCTGTAGTTTTTACTGTGGGCCGAGGTTCGTGGCAAGTGCTGCTTCCCTACCAAGGAGGACTTGTGGGAAATGTGCAGTTCCCTGGGAAAATAGAACTTGGGCCATGGCTAGTGTGTTTTATACATATGCAAAGTGTTCTTCAGGATGAGAGGTCAAAGCTGTCACCGGCCCAACTGGCCGCTGGGCGCCTTGATTTGGAGCATTCTTAGCCAGTTGGCATCAATCCTGTCTCCCATGCCCACTATCACCACCGCAAATCCAGTTCCTAGGGTAAACAATCAACTTCTTTGTCTTTCATTTTAAAATTCAAACTTCCCTGAAAGGGATAGGAAGAATTTCCTGGTTCTGCGGTCCAAGCATACACGCACGTAGCCTTTTTTCATTCATTATTCATCCACCACTGCTCATTTATTCCCTCGAACATTGGATTGTTCTGTGCTCAGGCCCTGGGCAGATGTTGTCTTCTCTGGTGCTTAGTGCTAACCTGGACCATCACTATCTGGAGGGAACTGTGAGGAGGGCAGAGGCGTGAGGTTGCCCAGGGCTGCAGATCGGCGACCCTGTGTGTGTCCAACACTAGAGCTGTCACAGTGCCATCCTGCTGCCTTTTCAATGTGGCCCTGCCGAGATACAGCTCCCCTGTGGGAGGCGGAGGGAGGCTGTGGCCCTCTGGGAGATGCAGGAAGGGAGTTGATGGATCTTCCGTCTTCATCCCTTTCTGCCTGTCCCAGCCTGCACCATGTGTCACTGCTGGTGTTGGTTTAAAGGTCTGTGAGTTGTCGCGTGTGCATGATTTATACCCCAGCTGGCTCACTGGCCCGTCCAGATCAGGATCAATTACCCTACCAATGGAAGTTTGCTTCCTGGAAAAGAGAAAAATGAAGTTTTGTCATTAATTTTAGTAAATGTACTATTCCTGGTGACTCCAGGAGCCATTATAGAGGAAAGAATATTCTGGCTGTAAATCATCCAAGTATGTTTGTCGCTGGAGTGATCAGACAGCTCACCTGTTGTTTCTCAGTAGCTGTAGAGCTCAGGGTAAACCAGGCCCCCAAGGGGGCATCTAAGGACTTGAGAACGTTCACGGTGAGAGGCAGGCCTGCCTCCTGCCTGCCTCCAGTCGGCTGTGCCTGCCTCTTTACGCCTTGGCCAGGCTCTCTGGCGTCAGCTGTGCTGACAGGTGCCTGGCTCGCAGTCCACACATTTACCTGGGTGTGGGAGACCTGGACAGTACTTCTGCTCATGCTTGGTGTGTTTGGCGCAAAGTCGCAGTGCTCAGATTCTGTCTTGCTCTCTCAATGCGACGGCGAGGGCCATTGATGCTGCCCTCTTTGCATCTTTTTCAATATGTTCCTCCCGGCCCATCCTTGCTTCTTGTCTTTTTCTAACAGCACCCTCTGCAGTCTGGGCTTCTGTCCGTCTCACTTGCCTCGCTCCAAGTTCTCACTTGTCTCTACTCCTTTGCTCTTTCCCCTCTCAGGAGAAGATCTTTCTGGATGGAATATATCTTACTCTGTTAGTTCTCTGCTAGGAAATCTCCTGTGGCCCTCCCTCCCTTGGCTTCACAACGAAGTCCAGATTCCTTCTGTGGCCTTTGGGCTTCTGAAGTTTGGCCTCTGTAGCTTTTCCTCTGGATGCCTGCCTCTTGTCACCTGCGTGTTCTGCCAGTGCCTGAAAGCAATGCCAAAGACCCAGTGCTCCATCATTCCTCGGCTCACCACCTTTGTTCTCCTGGGTATGCCCCTGCCTACTCCAGGTCAGATGTCAGATTAAGCATCTCCTTTGTGGTCCCACAACCCCCTGCACTTACCCCGTCAATGTTTGTGTCACCCGGTTATTAGAATCCATTTGTGTTCTCATCTGCCTAGACGGAGATCCCTGAGCAAGACAGTGAGTTTTGTTTGCCTCTAGATCTCTCGCTTCCAGTTTAAGGTCAGGCATAGGGTCGATGCTCTGCTACAGTCTGTTGAATAGTTTCCTCC